TGAAGAAGGTAGAGTTTTGTTGAATGAGGCACATATTTGTCGGAGATGGCAAACTTACTTCCATAGTCTCTTGAACGAGGATGGGAACAGAGACATTGTTCTGGTTGATTTGGGATCCTTCGAGAGTCGTTGCGACTTTAGGTATTGCAGGTGAATTTATGTTGAGGAGGTTGTGGGACCTATGCGTAAGATGAGCAGGGGCAGAGTGATCGGGCCAGATGAAATCCAGTAGAGTTTTGGAAGATTGTGACAGGGCAGGCTTGGAGTGACTTACTAGGTTATTTAATATCATTTTTAGGACGAAAAAGATGCCTAAAAAGTGAAGATGGAGCAAGATGGTTCCTTTGTACAAGAATACGGGTGATATCAAAAATTTCAACAACTATCGGGTTATTAAGCTGCTTAGTCATACTATGAAGGTGTAAGAGTGGGTGGTGGGGCTAAGGGTGAGGAGAATGGTGTCTATAATTGAGAACCAGTTTGCGTTTATGCCGGGGCGTTCAACTACTGAAGCCATTCACCTTGTTAGGCGATTGATGGAACAATACAGGGAGAGGAAGAGGGACTTGCATATGCTGTTCATCGATTTAGAAAAGGCTTACGATAATGTCCCGAGGGAGGTTGTGTGGAGATATTTGAATCTAGAGGGGTACCTGTGGCCTACATTAGTGTTTAAAGACATGTATAAGGGAGCGAAGACCTGTGTGAAGATAGTGGGAGGGGTCTCGGACCATTTTCGGTCATGATGGGATTGCATCAGGGGTCGACACTCAACCTTTTTTTTGTTTGACCCTTGTTAGTTTGTGTGAGTCCACGAAACAGTAGAGTACCTAGTCCTCTACGAGATTCTACTGAGAATGCTAATAAAACTGTACGTAAATAAGGCAGAGGATTTTTACATGAAAAAATCCCACACAAGGGGATCAAAAAACCACGACCTACACCTGTAGGCTTTCAACTTCACTAACTTGTAAAAACCTATTACAAGCCACTTTGTAATGACTCTACTACAAAGAATTTACTCAACTAACTTGTGGTACTCTTACCACAAGCCACTTTGTGACTCCCTAGTTACAAAGACTTTTACTAACTTGTGATGCTCTCACCACAAGCCACTTTGTCACTTTACAGTTACAAAGGCTTTTGCTTATGACTAAACTTAGTCACAACATAAACTCAAGGAGTTTATGAATTTACAAGAGAATTCCTAATCAACGCTTCTAGCTAAGCAATTTAGGAGATACAATAAGTACAATTACAAAGTTACAACTCAACTAGGACAACAACAAGCTAACTATAAGAACTGGTCCATAGTTGCGTTCAACTTTGCTCTTCAAGCTCATGAGGATTGATTTCTCTATTTTTGGCAAAAAGCTTGAAAATAAGAAACTGAAACATTCAAGTGATGTTTTTGTATAAACTCATTATTGGTACACCTTGATCACTTCACTTGAAATGATGTGAGTACTTTAGTTGGTCAGAGAATGAGTAGGCACTGGAAATAGTGCAGTGCGGCAGAAATAGTGCAGGCAGTCACTTCATTTCCAGCTGTGTCCAATTGACTTTGTACTGCTATGAGGAAACCACAAGGGTATCAGGTCCTTGTTTGGATTCCTAGATCCTGAAGCTGTATCAATTCACCTTTTGCTAGAATCCGTTAAGCTTGCAGTATAGTCCAAGTAGGTCAGGTTCCCTATCTGGTTCTTAACAGTAAGTTTGTTAGATCATCAAAACATAAGGCAAGAACATTTAAAACCTATCAATTTCCCCTTTTTTGATGATGACAAACTTTATATTTATAGAGTGGATTTAAAGCAGTAAGAACCAGATTAAGTAACAGGAGAACATATGTTCCCCCTGACTCTATGCCCTTTCATACGCATGTGTTCCCCCTGAGTTGATGGTCATATTATACTATTATTTCCCCCTTTTGGCATCATTAAAAAATACAAATAGAAAAACAACACAAAGAAGTCCAGCTAAGCTAACTCATGCCACATATGTGCACACAAACATGAAAGAGAATAGAAACACAAAAGTAAAGTACTGATATAATAAAAGAGGATAGAATTGATATTAATAAAACTTTAATATGCCTTTGCTTTAAAAAAGCAAAAGGTAATATTGGACTTGTTAAAACGGGAGCAATAGTGTTTCATCCCAACCATATAAAAAAAAGAAAACAAAAACATCTGCCAAAACAACAAAAAAACTTAACAAACATTTCTAGAAACTGGTCACTGAAGGGGTACTTAAGGGGCACTAGGAGTAAAGGGCTTGGAAGCTGCAACAAGTGTTTGGAGAACAAGGTCTATTCGGGCATTTCCCGACTTTTGCTCATTAATTAGTACTGCTTTCAGGTTATCTACTTGCGCCCTGAGATCAACATTCTCCTTTATCAAATGAGCTACTTTATCATTTGACACTGGAACCCCTTGGGCTTGCTGACCTTCCAGGATAGCATTCCTGGCCTTCAGCCTACAAATTTCCTCAGCTGCACTGTTCTGAGCATTAATAAGCTGTGAGACAGTTGATGTACTTCCTACCCCCCATTATTTTCTATGCACTCGCATTCTTCCAAAGTAGTCTGTGAGAAAGTCTGCTTCTTAGTCCCTACCTTGCCTGACCCCAGTGGTACTTCAAAGAATTTAAACACTCGAGTAAGCAGGAACCCGTAGGGAAGGCCATGATTACCATCTTTGAAGGTGACAACCTTTTGCATGTGTTCAATCATAATAGCAAGCAGACTCACAGGAGTAAAACTGTATAGTTGCTCCAACAAGAACAGGTCAGACTTAGAAGTCATTGACCTCCTCTCAGCTCGAGGCAATAGAACTTTGTTAACCAATTCGAACAGCAGCTGATAGACAGGGAGTAGTGCTTTCTTATGGATTTGGTCCCTCTTCTGGTTTGCATTGTCTTTTACGATGGCATTTCTGAAGTTAAACTGACACACATCTTTTACACTGGACACACCAGTTGTAGGAACTTTAAGAATCTCTCCAAGCAACTTTACATCGAACACGATGTCCACTCCATTGACCAAAGCACAAATGTGGTTAGTCTCAATGGGAAAGAGGCTAGCAAAGAAGCTTTGTACCTCATCCTCATATACCTTAGGTGCATCTATTTGGAATAGATGCGCCCAACGTTGAAACTCGACCATTTCCAGAATTTGGCGCATACCAGCCATCTCAGAGATTGCTGGGTCAAACGTACGATCCAACAGAACATTTTGATGCCTCAGGCGTTTAGAGCCAAGGCTGACTTCACTTCTCATTCTCTTCACAGAACCAGGTTCTTCAAAAATTTCAAACTTGCATTTGCTGGACTTCTCACCACTTGATTTTCCTTTTCCCTTGGATTTGGCTAATACATCCTCATCAGACATCGAGAACTCACTCACCACCTCCTTCAACTTGGACCTAGAGGTTGACCCCTTCTCTATTGAAATAGGCTTCTTCTTTTTCGAATACCGTCTAACTAGTGAACCAGGTTCATCTTGGGTTTTCTCTTCCACCTCTACTACAGGGATCGCCTCATCACTTACAGGTACACTGTCTTTCACTAACTTTCTCCTTTTTTTCTTACTACTTTTCTTGCTCTTTTGAAGGGCTAAATCATAGGCCACCTTAGCTTGAAGCCTGGTAGTAGGTTGTTTGGTTTCAGACTCAGGAATGGACACAACCCTCAGCTTAACTATGAACGCATCAAGAGGGATTAGGTTCCTCATGTGATGGCCCAGTAGTATCTGTTGGTGTATCCCTTTCAATAGTTACAATGGCCCCTTCGTCCCCATACCTTGTACCTCATTTTAATGAGAGATGATCTCATGCAGTACACCATTAGCAGACACCACAAAGACGGTTACAACATTTTTCTCTTCCTCAAATGGTACTATTGCCACCACAGAATCAGTAGCAACGATGGCAGAACTCTCTGTGACCTTAGGGTTTTAACCTTGTTCTCCACTTGGTCTTTGACTGGTGGGATCCTCAGAAGATGGAGAGGACGGAGCCACAATTTTAGGGGTTTTTGAAATAGAGAGAGACAGGAAAACTAGGTGAGGTGTGACCTGAGCGGGAAGAGTAAGAGTGGGTAAGGAAGGCTCAGTAGGAGCGGAAGTCTCCATAGGTTTATCAGTAGTAGTTATGACTGAGGCAGAGAGGTCAGAGTTTGTCTCAACCATTGAAAAAGTGGTGTGACGATGCTTTTGGGAAATTCTAATGGAGGACTTATGGTTAGGGAGAACAAAAAAGGGTTTTTATGAGGAGAGTATAATTATGAAAAGAGAGGAAGAGGCACCGGTTCCGAAACGGCTGTTGGGCATGGAGAAGTGCAATGTTTCATAGGGAGATGGAATGATTTGAAGTGAGGAGATGTGACAGCAGGATCTGAAAAGTTAATGACATGGCAATTGTGTTTTGTACCCTTTTTAAGACGTGTATTAAAGGATGCACAGAACTACTAACCTTGGGTACAAGAACCGGGTCCTTGACCTTTTATTTGAAAGAATCAATCCTCTTTTATCATTCATGCACTGCATCTACAGCTTCTATACTCATCATGCGTGTTTACCTGCAACGGTATTAAAGTGAGTTAGACATGGCCAGAAAATACTTTTAGCCAGTTATTTCTTGAAGGTGATTTTCATAGCCAGATAAAGGGGAATCAGGATCTCAATTGGGCTTTAAAAGCCCCAACTTCACTTTGTTTCTTTTAAACAGTTCCCTACTTAGTGCCTTGGTGAAAATGTCTGCAATTTGATCTTCTGTATTGCAGAACTTCATACATATCAACCCTTTCTCTACATTGTCCCTCAAAAAGTGATGCCTCACGTCAATATGTTTTGTCCTTTTGTGTTGAACTGGATTCTTGGCCATATTGAGTGCACTGGTGTTGTCACATAGAAGGGGAACACTCTCAGTGGGTACCCCAAAGTCCTCTAGTTGCTGCTTGATCCATAAAAGTTGAGCACAGCAGGATGCTGTGGCTACATATTAAGCTTCAGCTGTTGAAAGAGCCACTGAATTTTGCTTCTTTGTGCCCCAAGAGATAAGACATGAACCTAAGAAGTGAGCCATTCCAGAAGTGCTTTTCCTGTCCACAAGATAACCTACATAATCTGTATCAGCATAACCAATGAGATTAAAACTGTCACCTGAGGGATAATACAGCACTAGGTCCTGTGTTCCTTTGAGATATCTCAGTATTCTTTTGGCAGCCTTCAAGTGAGATTCCTTGGGATTTGATTGAAACCTTGCACACAGCCCCACACTAAAAACAATATCAGGTCTGCTGGCAGTGAGATAGAGGAGAGACCCAATAATGCCTCTATACATGGTTTGATTCACAGGAGATCCAGTTTCATCCATGTCCAGTCGAGTGGCAGTAGCAATGGGAGTGTCTATCACCTTTGATGCTTCCATGTCAAACCTCTTCAAGAGCTCCCTGATATATTTTTATTGACAAATGGATATACCCTTTAGGGACTGTTTTACTTGAAGGCCCAAGAAGAAGTTTAGTTCCCCCATCATGCTCATTTCAAATTCACTTCCTATGAGTTTTGCAAATTCTTCACATAGAGAATCAGTTGTTGCTCCAAAAATGATATCATCAACATAGACCTGAACAATGAGCAGGTTCTTTCCCCGTTTCTTTAAGAAAAGAGTGTTGTCAATTTTTCCTCTTTTAAAGCCATTTTCCAAGAGGAACTTTGACAGCCTTTCATACCAAGCTCGAGGATCCTGCTTCAGTCCGTATAAGGCTTTGTCCAGTTTAAAAACATATTTAGGGTGCTCATGACATTCAAACCCTGGAGGTTGCTTCACATAGATTTCTTCTTTAAGAAGTCCATTCAAAATGCACTCTTGACATCCATTTGGAACAAGGTGAATTCCATATGTGGTGCAAAATTGATTAGGATTCTAATAGCTCCCATGCGAGCCACTGGAGCAAACATTTCATCATAGTCAATTCCTTCCTCCTGATTGTAGCCTTGAACCACTAGCCTGGCCTTGTTCCTTGTCGTAATTCCATGTTTATCGAGCTTGTTTTTGAATATCCACCTGGTTCCTATAATGGTTCGATCTGAGGGTCTAGGTACCAGGTGCCACACATTGTTTCTATCAAACTGATGTAGCTCGTGTTGCATGGTTGTAATCCAATCTGCATCTTTCAAGGCTTCCATGATATTCTTGGGTTCTATCTGGGAGAAAAAAGCTGAGAAGACAAATGAATTTCTAACTCTTGACCTGGTTTGTACTCCGGAATCTAGAGGAGTAATAATGTTGTCCATCGGATGAGAGCTTTGGTGTCTCCAGTTAGATGTCTGAGGTTCATTCTGAGAGGAAGAGGGTATATTTGGCTGGTTTTCCTCTATTCTTCTCTCAGGTGCTAGTGGAGTTTCCTGAACTGCATCAACCACTCTTTCTTCAGCTTCAGTGGTTGTAATTGAAGTGCTTGATTTTATTGAAGATGAGGCAGTATTGTCTTCACTTAGCTCCTTTACTTGACTCATCATATTTGCCTTTCCGTTTGTCATGTTAATGACTTCACCAGGGACTAGTAAGGGTTCTCCATCTTGATCTTCCTCAACACTCTTCTCACATGATGGATAAGACTCATCAAAAATAACATGAACACTTTCCTCAACACATTGAGTCCACTTATTATATGTCTTGTAAGCCTTGCTTTGAGAAGAGTATTCTAGAAATATTTCTTCATCATTCTTGGCATCAAATTTACCATGCTGATCCTTTCTAGTGTTGAGAACATAGAATTTGCACCCAAATGTTCTTAGGTGAGTTAACTTGGGTTTCCTTCCATTCAACAATTCATAGGGGTTTTTGTTCCAAAGTGATCTGATCATGCACATGTTCACCAAGTAGTAGGCAGTGTTGACAGCTTCAGCCTAGAAGTTCTTTGCAATTCCACTGTCGATCATCATTGTTCTTGCCATATCTTCCAGAGTTCTGTTCTTCCTTTCTACTACTCCATTTTGCTGGGGAGTACTGGGAGCTGAGAAATTGTGAGTGATGCCATTTTCATTGCAGAATTCATCAAATTTGACATTGTCAAATTCTGTCCCATGATCTGATCTAATGCATGCGACTCTAGACTCCATCTTCACCTGGATTTTCTTCACAAAAGCCACAAACACCTCAACAATTTTATCTTTGGTTCTGAGAAACAGAGTCCATGTGAATCTGGAGTAGTCATACACTATCACAAAAATGTATCTTTTTCCTCCTCTACTTTGCACTCTCATAGGTCCACATAGATCCATATGCAGAAGCTCTAGTGGCTTTGAGGTGCTCACATCTCTTTTAGACTTAAAGGAGGACTTCACATGTTTTCCTCTAGCACAAGCATCACAGACCTTTTACATCTTGAATTTTGACATAGGCAGACCATAGACCAGGTCCTTCTGAATTAGTTTGTTCAGAAGAGAGAAACTTGCGTTGCCTAGTCTTCTGTGCCATAGTTCAGCATCATCATTAACAACTTTCAGACAACTCAGATCACCACTCTATAAGGACTCGAAATCAGCAACATAGATGTTCTTGTATCTTTTGGCGACAAGTACTACTTCACCAGTCACAAGATTAGTGACTGTACATATTTTGGACAAGAATTCCACCTTGTTTACTTTATCACAGATTTGAGAGACACTCAAGAGACTGTATTTAAGGCCATTGACATAGTACACATTTTCAATAGAATGAGTGAGTGACTTCCCAACTTTTCTAACTCCAAGAATGTACCCCTTTTTTCTATTGCCAAAGGATACACTCCCTCCTTACAAGGCTTTTAGTGAAACAAAGTCCATGATGTTCCCAGTCATGTGCTTTGAACACGCATTATCCATGAACTATTGTTGACCGCGTCCTTTCACTGTTCCCTGCACAAGAGATTAAGAGTTAGTTTTAGGAACCCAAGCAAGTTTGGGTCCCTTGTAGTAGGCAAGAGGATGAATAAGAGTTTTCTTAGTCCATACAGGTAATGTGTGTTTTTTGTGAGTGGAACTTGGTCCCTCTTTTGTAGTCACCTTTTAAGCAAACACTTTATTTTTCTGAACAGATTGATTCCTGGCCTGGAGATCTTCTTTAAAGTGCCCAGTGTTCCCACATTGGGTACAAGGCCAGTTATCAGAGACAGTGACGTACTTGTTGTGAGAGTTGTGAGGAGTTTTTTCCCTTTGGAACCCTATTCCCTGCCTGTTTTCACAATCACTAGTATGCATGACAGTGGTAGCTTCTGAGGACCAGGTCCATTTTAGGGACTTTTCAAGATCATTCTTTACTCTTTCCAGATTAGTTTGGAGTTGCTCGTTTTTCTCAATTTCAGCACACATCCTATTTCTCATAGCTTTTACCTCATTTTAAGCCTAATGTGCTCCTTACTGGCTATCTCCGTCCTTTTCCAGAATTTTCAAGTTTTGACTTAGTCCATGGTTTCACTATTGTACCCTTAGGTCTGTAATTTTTGCCAAAGAATCATCCTTTTCTTTTCTGAAGATTTCAATGGTTCTCTTATGGTCAGTAACTACAACCACTAAGTCGTCTCTGTTTGTTCAGATTCTCCTAATTCTAAGGTCAAAGAATCCCTATCCTCCACAAGACTATGAAAAGCATTAATTAATACATTAGTTAAAGACATGGTTTTTTTTGGAGAATAGGATTTCAGATTTCTCTGAACATCCCTGAAATTTACCTCTTTGTTGCTATCGTCTTCATCATTATCCGATTGAGCCATCAAAGCAAAAGTTGAGTCATATTCAATCTCCTCTCCTTCAACTGCCATCATGGAACTATCACCAGTATCAGGTTCATCTTCAGACTCACTAGAGGAATTCCCCATGCTGCAAGAACTTGTCTCATCATATTGTCAGCAGATCTTTTTCTCTTGAAGTCCTTAAAAGGAACCGGGTTCGTCTTAGCTGTTTTCTCATGGTAGTTCTTGGAGAATTCTTGCTTCAAAAGAGGACAATCTTTCATGAAATATCCAGGCTTTCCACACTTGTAACAAAGATCATAGTTCTTTGGTCTGTTAGAGCTATCCCTTTTTAGCATTTCTCCATTTCTTCTGACCAACTTCTGAAATCTTTTGGTTAAGTAACCCATGTCACTGTCTTTATCACTTGAATCATTGTTATCAGCTTTAAGTACCAGGTTCTTTTCCTTCTTTGGTTCTCTTCTTTCACTGTCTATCTTCCTCTTCAACTCGTAGGTCTTCAAATTTCCGATCAGCTCTTCTATGGTCAGCTCCTGTAAATCCTTTGATTCAGTAATAGCATTCACTTTGCTTTCCCAAGAGCTAGGCAGAATGCTGAGGATTTTCCTCACTAGCTTGTTTCTAGGAATAGTTTTACCAAGCAAGTGTAACTCATTTATGATGAAAGTGAATCTTGTGTGCACATCTTGAATGGATTCATCGTCCCTCATTTTGAAGAGTTCATACTCGGTAGTGAGCATATCAATCTTAGACTGTTTTACTTGTGTGGTTCCCTCATGAGCTGTTTGCAAAGCTTCCCATATCTCCTTGGCAGTGTCGCAGGTGGAGATTCTATTGTACTCTTCAGGTCATATTCCACATACTAGAATTTTTTTGGCACGAAAATTCTTTTCCACAACTTTCTTGTCTGTGTGTACTCTTTACTGGTTTTTACCATTGAAAATGGAAGTTCTTACAGTGCCTTGGTTGGAACATAAGGACCATCGCATATGATATCCCATAACTCGGAATCCTCAACCATGATAAAATCATGCATTCTTGTTTTTCACCACCCATAGTATTGTCCATTGAACCTAGGTGGTCGGTATGTAGATTGACCTTCTTCAAAATTTGGTGGAGCAGCCATGAGGATCCTTCCTAGGTGTTAGCCTGATAGAAGGAACCCGCTCTGATACCAATTGTTAGTTTGTGTGAGTCCACCAAACAGTAGAATACCTGGTCCTCTGCGAGATTCTGCTAAGAATGCTAATAAAACAGTACGTAAATAAGGCAGAGGATTTTTACGTGGAAAAATCCCACACAAGGGGATCAAAAAACTACGACCTACACCTGTAGGCTTTCAACTTCACTAACTTGTAAAAACCTATTACAAGCCACTTTGTAATGACTCTATTACAAAGAATTTACTCAACTAACTTGTGGTACTCTTACCACAAGCCACTTCGTGACTCCCTAGTTACAAAGACTTTTACTAACTTGTGATGCTGTCACCACAAGCCACTTTGTCACTTTACAGTTACAAAGACTTTTGCTTATGACTAAACCTAGTCACAACATAAACTCAAGGAGTTTACGGATTTACAAGAGGATTCCTAATCAACGCTTCTAGCTAAGCAATTTAGGAGATACAATAAGTATAATTACAAAGTTACAACTCAACTAGGACAACAACAAGCTAACTTTAGGGACTGGTCCGTAGTTGCGTTCAACTTTGTTCTTCAAGTTTGTGAGGATTGATTTCTTTGTTTTTGGCAAGAAGCTTTAAAATAAGAAACTGAAACATTCAAGTGATGTTTTTGTATAAACTCATTGTTGGTACACCTTGATCACATCACTTGAAATGATGTGAGCACTTTAGTTGGTTAGAGAATGAGTGGGCACTGGAAACAGTGCAGTGCGGCAGAAATAGTGAAGGCAGTCACTTCATTTCCAGCTATGTCCAATTGACTTTGTACTGCTATGAGGAAACCACAAGGGTATCAGGTCCTTATTTAGGTTCCTAGCTCCTAAAACTGTAGCAATTCACTTTTAGCTGGAATCCATTAAGCTTGCAGTATTGTCCAAGGTCAGGTTCCCTATCTGGTTCTTAATAGTAAGTTTGTTAGATCATAAAAACATAAGGCAAGAACATTTAAAACCTATCAACCCTAGCGATGGATGTACTGACTCGTCACATCCAATGGGAGGTGACTTGGTTTATGTTATTTGCAAACGACATTATTTTGATTGACGAGATGCAAGACGGTGTTAACGCGAGGTTAGAGGTGTGGAGACAGACCCTGGAGTCTAAAGGTTTCAAGCTGAGCAGAACCAAGATAGAATACTTAGAGGGTTTAAGTTTAGTGGTGATACCAAGGAAGTGGAAAGGGAGGTGAGGCTGGATTCACAAGTCATCCCTAGGAGGGAAAGTTTTAAGTACCTTGGATCTATTATACAAAGAGATTGGGAGATTGATGAAGATATCACATATCATATTGGGGCGGGATAGATGAAATAGAGATTTGCTTCTGGTGTTTTGTTTGATAAGAAGGTACCACCAAAACTTAAAGGTATGTTTTATAGAGCGGTGGTCAAACCGACTTTGTTATATGGGACTGAGTATTGTCCAGTCAAGAGCTCCCACGTCCAGAAGATGAATGTAGCAGAGATGAGGATGTTGATATGGATGTGCGGGCACACCAGATTAGATAGGATTCTAAATGAAGTTATTTGGGACAATGTGGGTGTGGCCCCTATTAAAGATAAGATGCGGGAAACACGGCTTAGATGGTTTGGATATGTGATGAGGACGCTCCGGTAATGAGGTGTGAGAGGTTGACATTGGAGGGCCTTATGAGAGGTAGAGTTAGGCCGAAGAAGAGTTGGGGTGATGTGATTAGGCATGTGTCGACGCCCCTTTTTTCTCTAATCGTGGGGTCAGAAATCGGGTATACGATACTGGGAAGACAACTCTATTCCCTTTTGATAATTGGGTTTGGAAGTTGAAGAGTCGCCACCTAATGATTATAGTGCATTAGGACACTTTAAGA